TGAAGGTATTACATCAAATATGACTCAGAGGAGGCAGTTCTACAGATGGCCCAGAAAACAAAACAAAACAAAAAATAATTGTGATACATTGTGATCTGAGAAGAAATCTTGAAGCAGTATTTCTCAAAGACAGGTATGCAGATCCCATACACAGAATCACCAAGGACTGCTTGTTAAAACCACACATTCTCCAGATCTACAGAGTAGTAATCTCTGGGGCATGAGCCTGAAAATCTGCAGTTTCACAAATTCCCCAAGTAATTTTTAAATCCCATTAGAGCCAGAGAACCTCTGCCCTAGAGCAGTGATCTCTAGAAATTTTGCTTGTGTTTTCTAAAAGAATTTTGAAAAGGTGAATACCATTTCACATGGTTTTAAGTTCTCACCTAAAATTTTTCATTCTAATTTTAAATGGGCACAATAAATATAATTTCTGGTATATTCTAATATTGACATTTTCAAATAAATATTTCATATCACTTTATTTTACTTTATTAATTTTTTGGTACCAGGGATTGAACCCAGAGATTTTAACCATTGAGCCACATGCCCAACCCTTTTTTTTTTATGTTGAGACAGGGTCTTGCTAAGTTGTTTAGGGTGTCTTTAAGTTGCTGAGGCTGGCTTTGAACTTGGTATCCTCCTGCCTCAGCATCCCAAGCCTCTGGGTTACAGGTGTGCACCACCACCTGGTTCATATCACTTTAATAAGTATTCAATGAATCTTAAATGCTCGTATCAGGTTCTATCATACTTCTCTGCAAAATGATGTACATATACATTGAAATTTTATTTTTTTATTTTCTATGACCAAGTGTTAAAATTTCTTCAGAATCATATCAATATTATAATTATTAGTAGTACACAAGTAACAAAACATATGTCATATACATTTTATAAACAATTTTTAAGTAGAACAATATTTTTGAAAATACTTCTATTAATTTGATGGATAGACTATTTTACCCTAGTTAGTTTATGTATTCATAGATTACTTATTGCTAGAATAAGACAGGCTTACAGAATCTATTTTATTCATATTCTTTGTATTACATATAATAATCATTGAGAAAATTAGTAGATGGGAATAGAAGATGTTTTGTCATAGCAGTGTCACTCATATTTTTGAAACTCCTCAATTATAAGACAAATTTCATATATAATTTATTAAACAATTTAATTTAATAAATTTAAAGTAAAATTTGATGTCTTCCTTCAATTTTGCTGAAAGCAAAGAATTAGACCACTGGAGCTATAAAAGAATATTAACAATCCTTCACTCTCTTTAACCCCATCACCAGTACTTTGAATTGCAGTTAGTTTAATGTCCTTGAGGATTTTATACACCCCTAAAGGGAGTCACTTAAATAAGATTCCAGATAGTTAAAAGCTATTTTATTATTTTAATAAGTAAGTCAAAAGCAATTGGGAAATGGGAGGTAGAAGAGACAAGGGGCACTCTCAGGTAGACCCTTTTTAGTAAAGAATACTTGTGAAAAATTGAGGATCCTGGAAAAGTTTCTTTAAGAACTACCTTTGCTTCCATGTTTCTTAAAAAGTCTTTGTGAAAGTTCACATACCTCTGTTTGAAGACCATTGTACTAATTATCTGAATACTTTAAGAAAATGCATTACTCAATCTTCTCAAGTACCTGAGTTCCCTCCAAATGTGTGTACAAACCAAGTATGGACAGTTATAACAAAGGATTAAGGAGAAGGATCCAACAAAATGGTCATAACAAATACCAAAGGGAGATGTGAGTGATTTTTAAGAGCTGACAAGTTATTGATATTATGATTTTGCCAGTGCTTCTTTTTATTTTAGTAAATGGAATTCTTATAATCCCCTCAAGGGTTGAACTGGTTGTGGGTCAGAAACCTCATGAGGTATTCTGTAATTTTGTTACTACATTAAACCTGAGGGAAGTGGATAAAAAAGTCTTAGAGCCTTTCTTCCTCCCTCTACCCCTCTTCACTTTAATATGAAAATAATTGCCTCTACTCTTGGAGACCTGGCTTAATTAGACTAATCTAATTTTCTGCTGGCAAAACTAACGCTAAAATGGTATTGCTCTGAGTTCTCTAATTATAGAGCAATCACACTTTTTTTTAACAGATACTAAAACCAAATGCTATAATGTTGGATGAGGTCACAGTGAATAACTTGTTATAAGGCCTATTTTGAGGTTCCACATGATTTTCAGTGAATATTATGCAGTGACAGGATACAAAGTTTGCTGCAGAAAAAAAATTATGAATTGCTACTATAATTTATCCAAGTAGTGATGAAGTTCCACAGGTTATTTCATAAGAAACATGTTGACTGACCATAATCTCTGTTCTTCCTTCCTCACACTCTTAAACCATGCTCCCTTTCTGGTTTCCCTCTCTCTGAGCCATCTATCTTCTCATTTTCTTCCCTGCACAGCCTGAACGCCGTGGTCAACCTCTTAATGGATATCCTCACCAGCATTCTCAGCCCTCTGACTCCCTTGAACTTATTTATTCTGCCAAGTCCCAGCCTAGAGTCAACCAACCATCTATTCCCTATACTATTGCTAGTTTGCCAAAGACTGCTGGAGAAAATTGTGTAACTGCTGATTCACGGCATGACAAATCTTCAGTTTTCAAACTCACCTTGACCCTTAGCACTACATGGCAGTCCTTTCACTCTTGCCTAGTTGACTTCCTTTACCACTGCTCAGGTGCTGCTCCAAGTCATCACTCTTCCAAGGTTTTCTACCATACCTCCCTAACCAATGGTTGATTTAACTTCCTTCTTCAGGAAAAATTAGTGTTCAGCTTCTTTCCCTCCCACTTCTAATGGTCTTCTACAGAATCAGCCTCCTTTCTCTCTGTCCCAGAAGAAATGTGCATCAATTGCCCTCCTCTCAATACCATTAGGGTTTTGTTTGTTTGTTTTAAAGCTCTTCTGTATACATTATCATAAGATAAATATTCTCCTTGGAAATCATATTCCAAGTTGAAGAAATGGACATTAGAATGTTAGGAAATAAACATTGCTGATTGGCTACAGAAAAGACCACATCAGAATAGTAAGTGTTCTTCCTCTTTGAGTCATTCAAAAGCAAGGACAGAAAGGAAGGTGAGTTGGGATGCTGCCTGTCCATTAAATGTTTTAAATTCTATCACAGTTGTGTCAGCAAAATGTCACCAAGTGAATTTAAAGAAATTGTGCTTTAGTGATTAATGCCATTTTTGTTCTCTGCTGTTTAGTACTACCTGCTAACATGTGCAATTTAAGATGTTATTAATAACTAGTCCATCCAGTATCTCTTTTTATTGTGAGAGTTTACTCACCTTCATTCATTCCAGATTTTTCATAGAAAAAAAATTTCCTAGGAAAACCAATGGGAATTATGGTTAGCTTGTTATGGTTTTTAAATTTAATATCATACTAAACTAGTTATCACACGAAACTTTCACATGATACATGTATGCTTTAGTAAAAGTGTTTATAGAATTTGCCTAAAAAGAAGCTTTGATGTAGAGGATGTTTAGAGGAGATGTTTATCCTGTGTAACCCAGGGCAGATCCAGATTTTGTGGGAATCCAACCATATATAGTTCTGGGAAGTTTGTCTTTCCACAAAAGGATACAAGATTATAATAAAAAAATGAGGTTCAGAATCTTTGGAAGCAATCTTGAAAATGAAGGGCTCTGAAGCTTAAGCTTCATTAGCTTCAGATTAATCAGTTTTTTTTAATCTGGCCACTTAATTGGGTCATTAAACAAACCTAAGTCAAACAAAAACTTATGAACTGCAAATACCTAACATAAGCCAGGCATTTTACATATCACATTTCATGCTCACAACAAACTTATCTACCAGTCTTCTTTTTATAAAGTAAAAACGGAGGCTCAGAGAATTTAGTAACTTGCTCACAGGCAGCCCTGCTCATAGTGAAGCTGGGATCTAAACCAAGCTATGACAAACAATCTAGTATTCTCCCAGTACAATATTCTGCCCTTAAGGTTTTCCAAAAGATAAAAGGTTAAAGTTACTTGGGAGAATACCCCTAGAAAATGGCTGGAAATGCTCAGTCAGTACTTGAAATTGACATGATTTAATTTATATTGGAGACATTCCCTGAAAAATACTGCCCTAAAACTGTGTTTAAAGGGCGTGAAGACACAAATATTTAACTCTTGGATTATTATCTTCCCCTCACTAAATGACAGGATGAAGACAGAAGATCTTAGGGTCCAGAAGACAATGTGGTTCTAATAAAAAGAGGAAAATAGAGGCAGAATCAAAATCTAGAGGTGAGTCTAGAATTATAGCTTTCTAAAAAGAGTCTGGCTATAGAAGGATCTAGTGACAGACAGTGTGGATCTTTCACAAATTATATCCTCTTGCTACATGTCCAATATTTTTTAACCTTGACATTATGTCAGATTTTAAAGATTGGAAAATAATGACAATGGCTCATCTATAACTTTTATATTCATACCCTTCATTTGCCAATTTGACCTCTATTATTTTTAAACAGTAATGGCTCCTCCTTTTGTTAAACCCCCTGGAAGTAGGGACTGTGCCATTTCATCTTTTCCATTCTCAAAGAATCCAGCACTTGGTATAGATAGGAATTTCATAGAGGTTTGTTGCCTTAATGTTGATGAGTTATTTTTGATAGGTCATTATTTTCTAACACAGTAGAAATTCCATAATGTAGATAGATTTTGATCCTACCCTACTTCAGAATAAAATTTTTGGTGTTTGTCTAAAGCTAAAGACAAAAATTGATCTGATGTAGTTAAGTTTTTTGGTCAACAAGCTACCATTGGTGCTACTTAAAAGACCTCTTGATTTTGTGGTCTTAGGGCTATTGTGACCTCAAACTGTAACTAAAATCAGTCCAATGCAACAGGAGTTTCAAGAACAGCAGCCCCCAAAAGATGTCTTAACTGGATGGGAAAAGAAGGCACATATTTTCAAGAAGGCCTCTTTATTATTAAAGTAGAAGTTTCCCTTCAAGATGACAAGTGGTGCAAATTACTCAGGTTCTTACTTGTCCTCAAAACGGTGAGTGTTTGGAAAAAGCCAAATGACAACTACCCAGGAGGGAAAGGAGAGTCTGATTAACCCAGGCTAAAGACAAATATTATTTGATGTCTCTTCCCACAGAAGTTCTAAAATAGATGACAACTACTTGAAGGAATTGAATGAGGACTTAAAGCTGAGGAAGCAGGAACTTTTAGATATGTTAAAACCTCTAGAAAATAAGAACAACCTCTTATTCCAGAAGTTAATGTCTAACTTGGAGGAAAAACAAAAAAGGTAAGGGCTCCCTACTCAGGTTGGAGAATTTAATCTCCATAACATTAGCAATAAGTATTTACATTGCTTTGTTTTTGTTTTCAAATTTGGACAAACAGGTCTAGTAAAATGTAAAGAATATGTAATCACAAAGGGGTGAAGATGAATCCTTAATTTTTTGGTAAAATTAAATAAAAAATTAAATCAACTCTCATCTCATGAGGCTACAGTTGTTACTCTTCCTCTATAAAATGCCTACTCAAGGAACAGGTAACAGAATTCAACAGCTTCAGTCTATCATGTTTAGACTCATAGCTTCCTTGTTCATGTTTATAAACTCATTTTAAGAAAAAAATATTCTGCTTTTTCTATTCAAGCAGTGGAGTAGTGATCTTTTCTGAGCCTAAGAGCCCTTCGGATTAGGATTCTGCCTCTGTAAACATATGAGGAAACCATAATTTTTTGCTACAACATTCACTGTTCCTAGGACCCACAAACTCTGTTTCCTTTCTGGCCTTAGAAAATCTCATGTCAATTGATCTATCTTCATACACCCTCTTCATAAGCCTCTTGAGGAACCTAGACTTTTGGAAAACAAATAACAGATAAAAGGGCTGGGGTTGTGGCTCTAAGGTGGAGTGCTCACCTAACATGTGTGAGGCACTGGGTTCGATCCTTAGCACCACAAAATAATATAAAAAAAATAAACAAAATAAAGGTATTGTGTCCATCTACAACTAAAAAAAAAATAGACAAAAAAATTGTGGTCAAGCACCAGCTGCTTCTACGAGTTACTTACAACACCAGACTTCTCTCAGGGCAACGGAAACAAAGGCTTAGACCTGAGGAGGAAGAAGGGCAAGGAACAGAAATATAATCAATGCCTTCAAAAAACATCTTCTCTCACAGTGTGGAGACTTGATATTGATTCAGATTTTGTTAGGAATTTCTTGATGGCTTGAATTCTTTGGGGGGCCACCAAGGATATATGGATTCCCAACAAGTCAAATGTCTTTATTTGGAAACTCAAGGAGTAGGAGGAGGTAGACAGAGAAGGGATAAGGAATAACTCTGGAATTTTATCCTGAAGACATCAGGTTTTTAAACCTCCTCCTTTACAGGGGCAGAACTGCTTCTTCCTCCCTGAAATATAACACCAAAACATTTTTCTGAGGTGACAGAGAATAATCTTGCTGGCTATTGAAGACCAAAGTTTTGAGCACTGAAGAGCACAGAACTCATTACTGAGAACACAGCTATGGCAAATGTAAATTAGGGATAGAATAGTCCCAGTTACAGAGACTTTCCATGTCCCAAAGGACTTCTGAAACCCATAAGATTCCAGCCCCCTTATTACTTCTGTGGTAGAGCACTTTCTGGCTGGTTGCAGAATACTAATATTATCTTTTAGGAAGGTCTGCATGTTTTATGATGTCTATTCTCCTTCTAGTTTGCAGATCATGAGGCAAATCATGGCAGGGAAAGGATGTGATGAATCCTCCGTCATGGACCTCATTAAAGAAGCAGAGGAGATGAAACAGAACCTGGTAAGAGGCTGGTGGGTACTCTGGGGAACAGCTTTCTAAACAGGGCTCAGTTCCACTGCTGTTGTCAGATGTGGAAGTAAACACACAGTGCTCATCTCCAGCATCTGATGCTTCAATACTCTGATCTCTTTGATCTAGAAAGTCCAAGGTGATTCAAAGAGAGTCAGATGGTTTATTGGGAAGGACAAAGACTAGCTAGCAAAATTCTATTTCTTTGACTTTTCAATAGCTTTTCATGTATGCATTAATGGATATAAGCGCATTAACCATTCATATATCTAAAGAACAGAATATACATATTAAAGTAAAAGAAAAGAAATAATTTGCTCTAAGAGTCTTAGAAAAAAAATCTTTTAAAATTAAATCAACAATGTAAAAGTATCTTAAATATTAGAAATTAGTGGTCTAAGCCCCAGAGAAATTGTCTTATGATGAGAACATCTTAAGTATTAGGAACTTATTTCTGTTAATACCAGCTCATAATATCATAATTAAAGTTATTACTTGAAATAATAACATTTTTTAACCATTGTCATCATCACCATCATCAAACTTATCTCTCATGTTTCTGGATTTGGGGCTAGGTCCATTTACTGCCTTCTCTGTGGTTTACTATGTCCCTGATCCCTTTTCCACCATTAGCTTAGTAATTTCTTCAAACCTCAATTTAATGACTAGACAAACACATGTCTCTGTTTGTTTGGTTCCTCCCCTCCAACAGGAAAGGAAAAACAAGATGCTTTGGAAGGAAATGGAGTTGCTATGGAACAAGGTGTGCCTCTAAGGATCTCTTGAAAGTATTGTCCTACAGTTCATAATGCAAAGAATCCCCAATTCCTCTGGCCCCATTCTCATTTTTGTATGCTCTGCTTCCATCCTTGCATTATTTCAACACCCCCCCCCCTTTTTTTTTTTTTTTTTTTTTGGTATAGCAGCCAAAGCGATCTTTTCAAAACAGTCAAAGCATGTCACTCTTATGAAAATCCTTTATAGCCTGCTTATTGTGGCATAATGTAGCTCGTGTCTACCTCTCTTGGTCTCCTTTCATAGAAGTCTTCCCCATACTTTCTATGCAATCACCCTACAGGTGACTTGTGGTTTCTCCTTGTGACGGTCTTTTCCTATCTCTGGCCTTTGTTCATGCTTTACTCCCTGTCTGTAATGCTATTATGATTGGCTTATCCTCATTCTTCAGATCTCAGTTTAAATATTACCTCTTTAGAAAAGCCCTCCATGTTTATTCCATCTAAAGAAGAGCACCCTCCTGTTCATGTCTTCAGTAGCACTTTTCATAATATTAACTTATTACTTTTTATTGTATTATTATTATTATTCCTTTCTTGTCCCTTTACCCCATTCTGGGATAAAACCTCCTTCAGTATCTTGATTGCATTTTCCAAATCCCTAACACATATCACAATGCTTGGAACAATAGAAGAGAATCAATAAATATAAGTTGAATTAATGAACAAAGGAATACCTAATTCTAATGCCCATATGATTTTGCAATAATCATGCATTATTTAAGATAATAATATTAGGACCTTTTCCTGGAAAACCAGGAGGGGAAATACATTTGTGAACTAGCCCTTGGAACCAAAGTGTTATTTCACAGATTAGCACTGCAACTGGAAGAGTGGATAGTCTTGTGACATAAACAGGTGTGTGGTGTGAGCTGACTGCTTTTTTTCATCTCGCCTTTCCACAAATAATCAGGATAACTCTAAGCCCTGAATCTTGAAGTAAGATCTGCTCCTACTTCTCAGCAGCAGTTACAAATCACTTCTATAAATTATGAGAAGTTCTAGTTTCTAAGTTCTTGAGTCTTTGTGATAGATATGTGCCAGCACAATTATTCTATGGAAATCCAGCTTCTCTAGAGCTACCAAAGTACTTTTTATAGCATATGTCTATACACCTTAGTTTGTGATCAACTTTCTCTATCTATAGTTTGGGAGAAATGGAGACAAGCAGCATGCCTAGTGGCTAAGAACACAGGCTTGAACATAAATATGTTTCAAATAGCAGCTTTGAACTTTCCTAGCTGTGTGACCCTAAATAAATTATTTAACCTCTCCAAGTCTCAATTTTCTCATCATGAAAATGAAAATAAAATTCAGTACCCAAAGAGCTGTGTGGATTAAGTAAGAATGATTGTAATGTACTAGTGACAGTAATGTAGTAAGTAGGTTCTAGTAGCTGTTGGCACATAATAAGGGTTGAATTTAGTATCTTTTTAATTATAAGGTATACTTGGGCTGGGTGTGGTGGCACATGCCTGTGATTCCAGCAACTCCGGAGGCTGAGGCAGGAGGACTGCAAGTTCTAGGCCAGCCTTAGCAATTTAGTAAGACCCTGTCTCAAAATAAAAAATAAAAAGAGCTGGAGATGTGGCTCAGTGGCAAAGTGCTCCTGGGTTCAATCCACAGTACCAAAAATGTGTGCGTGTATGTGTGTGTGTGTGTGTATGTGTGTGTAATTTATGATATAAATGATATTATATAAAATATATTATATGAAATATATAAATTTATATTAAATATATACATATATGATACATACACACATATGTAAAAATTTATATATACATATATACATGTATAAATATATATATATACATATATATATATAATTTTATTCATTCATAAATATATATATTACACTCAGGGACCAAAGGGAAAGACTCATTATCTTATGAATCACCTTTGGTAGGTAGTGCAGTTTCCAAGTTGGGCCCTGAGAAGTTGCAGACTGGCAGGAACCAAAAGCCTTGATTCATATTGGTTTTCCACTTCCCTCATTAATTCCTACTAATTTGAAGCTCTGCCACAATGTCTCTCCACAGACATTAGAGACAGAAGAACTCCATGATCAACAAAAGACACCACAGATAAAAACCAGGGCAGATTTACATGATGGAAAGGCAAGTGGATGGAATTATAAGATTGTTGGTGCCACATAGCTGGAAATAACCTGTTACTAATCAGGTCTGGTTTGGGTAGGCAGATAGGTAGGATCTGGGCTTTTAGAGTATAGTAGATCTTATGGACTACAAGATATTGCACTTTTTCCTGGGACCTCCTATTTCTTTAGTTCTCTTCTTTCATCCCAGGCTCCCAAATTCCCCTCATCACCTAGGAAGATCAAGAGTGAAATGGAGGGGCTGGGGATGTGGCTCAAGCGGTAACGCCCTCGCCTGCCATGCACGGGGTGCTGGGTTTGATCCTCAGCACCATATAAAAATAAAATAAAGATGTTGTGTCCACTGAAAACTGAAAAATAAATATTAAAAAATTCTCTCTCTTCTCTCTCTCTCTCTTAAAAAAAAGAGTGAACTGGAGACATCATTTGCAGAGAAAGTAAAGGAGATAAGGAAGGTAGTACAACCATTGTGAATGATAGTAGTTTTTGGAGCTGATAAATTAGGTATCTTTAATGTAGCAGTTATCTGCCAAAGCTATGGTGTACTCCTGAACCAATGCAAATTTTTATAAGCAATCCACTTCTTGTGGATATTATATTTGAGTTGGAGTGACATGACAAATTTGTGGGAAATCATGTTATCCAGGACAAAGTGAGAAAAGCTATACCAACAATGACAACTCTAGAATAGCTATTTGATGTCTGAACACTTATTAGTTTGTCTTAGAGAATGCATTTAGAGTATTATATTTGTATATCATCATCTCGTAACTGACTCGTTCACAAAAAATGGCCTATTCATTTATCTTTTAGATTTTAGAGAGTGGATTATACAGGGAAGGCCAAGTAAGAGGACTATACAGTTGAAACCAAATGAATAGTGAATCTATGACACCGTAATTTTGCTATAAGGTTGTTACAGCATATTGAGAAAACTGATTTTTGATCTCAATTTACTTTGTCACCCAGAGGCTCTTTCTTCCACCAGGAAAAGCAACAGAGGAAAATGGAATGGGTCAAGTATCAGGAACAAGCCAACATTCTTCAGGTACCAAGGTCTTCAATGTCTGGACATGGGATGCAATTTCATTTATACAATATAAGGGCTTTTATAGCTTTATATTATTAAAGACCCATTCCTTCATCCTGGGTTACCAATTGTCCTGCTAAAGGAATGTATCCTGGAGAGATGGCTGAAGTAACCTATCTCTGTCTTCACCTTGAATAACTTGTAATAAATAGTATTTCATCGTAAATTCTTGATTTTGTTCTATTTAAAATGGGGGGGGGGGAGGAGGACAAGTACTATCTGCCCAACTTTAAAAGACTGAGCATGAGGATATTATTTTTTAATTTCTGGGTGAAGAATATTCAGATAACCATAGATTTAGAGAAATCAATATTGTATGAGTAGTTTTGAAAAAATGTCCTCTTTCAGAATGACTTCCATGGTAAAGTGATTGAGCTGAGAATTGAAGCCTTGAAGAACTACCAGAAGGCCAATGAATTGAAATTATCACTGTACTTACAACAGAATTTTGCACCAAAGCAAACATTTTTAAATCTTCCAGGGTTCCAAGGTAGGTAAAGTATCATATAGTTACACATTTGGAGGATTTTTGTTGTTGTTGTTGACATCGAGATCCCATTACTTATAAAATGAAAAACATTGTTTACATGGTAAGTTAAATATTAGTGGTATAATAATAAATTATTTCAATATCATCATTATTAGTATTATTCAGAAGCTCTTGTACCAAGGTAAATATTCTCTCTGGAGGAAACTGTTTTCTTTGTACAGATTAAGTAATATGTCATGTTCTTAATATATGCTGATAACATAGCATGCAATAAAATATTAGTTTTCTATCTTTTCCCCTTACCTAGAAATCAGAATGGTTTGATTTCATGAATGTAAAGGAAATAGACTCTCTTATTTCAGAGCAGAAGGCCAAGGAGATAGACATCTGACAACTGTTGTTGAGTTTCACTTATCCAGAAGTTCCTCTGGGAGTTTCAATGATTTTTCTCTAAGTAATTTATGGCATTGTTACAGGAAATCATATAGTTTTCCATAAAAAATAGAATAAAAGAATGATGCTGAGGTCCAGGGAAAGAATTCATACATTTTCAAGTATATATGAACTTAAAACTGCAGTTTTAAAAAGGACACACAATGGGAAATCATAACCAAGGAATGACAATTTTCTATCTGTGTAAGTATGTAGGTCTCTAATTTCTTCTCAGTTTTATTCCATAAAAGGCTCAAAAGGCTTATAAAAGTCACACACAACACATATAATAAATTAGATTAGATGAATAACTCAAAGGCAAGAGAAAATTAGTTGAAACTAGGTAAATAAATGAAAATAATGATGGAAGTACTATGTAGTTGGTAGTGGTAGGCTATAAATTTGATTCCAAATTCCCTAGCAAAACAAAACAAAAAATGAACTTGTAGCTTCCACAAAATAACAGCAAACCAATTGCTCAGGAGAAGCATAGCTTTTCTTGATACTCAGACCTGTGAGAAATTTCATCATTGTAATGAAGACAGGACCCTATATATCTAATAATATCGATATCTTCAATGATATTTTTAAATGATTTAAAAAATCTAAAATTCGTAGGTTTTTTATCACCTGTTCCTCAGCATAATATAATAAAAAATTATTAATCTGAAATTTTTAAAAAGGATAGATCAACTTAAGATGATTTGGTACAGGCACATAGCATTCTATCTTGATCCATTGGTTAAAATTTAGAAAATCTAGAAAACTGAATAGATGGACTACCTATACTCCAGGTAATGTTCCACACATACTTTTCTTTCAACTTATGTCTTGAGAAGAACTTGACAGCTGAAAGCTGGAAAGAAAGAACCTGGAATGCAACCAGAAGCAATATATAGTTACTAAGATACAAAAAAAAAAAAAAAAAAGACAGAGGAGAGTTATGAGGAAGACAGACAGCCCCCTGTTTACCTCATTGAAAATTAGCCAAAGGTCATCTCAAGTGATTCACAGAGCCAAGGATTCAAATGTCTTTCCAGATTCAAGTCAAGCCCAGATTAGTTAAGTAGTGAAGAATTCCATTCAACTTAATTGTCTCAGTGGGGTTTTATTTCCCCCTTGCCCACAGAACATAGAATCAATTTGAACTAGAATTGCCTACAGATCAACATATTTCCTCTTTCTTCTCCTATACTCCTGGAAAATTAAGAGATAGGGTACTATACTGCTAGGTTACTACAAACTAACGTAGCCCCAGCCTGAATGACCCACTGGTCCTGTGTTTTACTGATTCTACATTCACCGAGTACTGATTATATTCCTGTTTTATTTTCTAATACACATAAAATCTTTGGGTTTATTAGAGCCCTAGTGGATCTGAAATCTAACAGAGTTCTCGATTTTAGTTATGTTGATTTATAATTATAGCCTCTAGTGTTTGATTATTAAAAAGAAATATTAGGCTGAGCGTGATGGCGCAAGCTTCCTTGGGAGGCTGAGGCAGGAGGATCATAAGTTCAAAGCTGGCCCCAGCAATTTAGCAAGACCCTGTCTCAAAATTTTGAAAAAAGGGGAAGGTGTGTGCTGGGGATGTGACTCAGTGGCTAAGTGCCCCTGGATTCATCCCTGATTCAAAAAAAAAAATTATTTATCATCATGGAAGAATTGTTAAAGTAACCTTATTAAGACCTTATTATAAACAGTGCTATAATAGGGAAGTAGTTAGTGGTGGTGTTTTCCACAATTTTTGCTATTTACACTGATTTATTTTTTTCATAAATGCATTCCTTGAAACCTAAATGTATATTACTATTTTAAATGAAAAACTAATATAGTTTTCCATAATAGAAGGTACACTTAAGGAAAAAAAATTGGGGGGAGTGGGTGGGTCCTGGGAGTGGATTTAACCTGGGCAATTTATCACAAAGTTACATCCCTAGCACTTTTTATTTTTTGTTATGGGACAAGGTCTCACTAAGTTACTTAGGACCTTGCTAAGTTGCTGACACTGGCCTTAGTGATTCTTCTGCCTCAGTCTCCTGCTAGGATTATAGGTGGGCACCACTGCAGCCAGCCCAAAATTTTAATGTTCTAGCAAGATGTTCAAAGCTGAGATCTACTTTATCCTTATTAGAAAGTAAAATTAGCATGACATAGAGAATTTTAAAGTAAACCAGCACCAACTTGGAACTTTCTTCTTCATGCTATCAAGTTAAAAGCAATGTAAAGGGAACAATTTTCTCACTGTGATTTTTAGTATTTAATGCCGTGTTCCAACACCTCCTAAATTTATCCAAATTGCTACCTCAAATCATCTCACCATCAGATTTTGAAAAGTTGTAATTTAATGGAAAAAGTACTGATTTAGAGTCTCATACATGAGTTGTAGGCCTTATTCAAATCTACTAGCTACAAGACCTGGGCAAGTCATTTAGCTTTCATTTTTTTTTTCTTTTTTCCTTTCCTAAAACAACCATGACATTTTATAGACCAGGTTGAAAAATCCTCATTTTCGTGTAACCCTTACAAATTACTCTATGGAATAGGAATTCTAGAACAAAAACAAACTTAGAGAAAAGTTTAGTTCCTGGACTATGTGTTAAAATGTGTGATTTTTCATGCCTCTTCCATCCCTAAAACACTGATTTGAATCCAAACTTAACAATTGTTTAATGTACCATCCTTCCAATGAGGAATCATATTCCCTAAGGTTAATTTTTCTGTGGTAAAGAAAATATGGTTACAAAATGGAATGAGGTATTTGTAATTTAAAATTATTCCCAGTAGGTGGCACCAACCACATCTAGGCTTCAAGTCACCACAAATAGTGGTTATTCAGGAAACAGGAAAAGTTGTGGAAGGCCCTGGCTTTCTATTACTCTTAGGACAAAATGTGTCTCATATATATATATATATATATATATATATATATATATATATATATTCCTTTTTTTCATTTTATATATAATGAAAAAAAGGAAAACAACCTATTGATGTTTTGTGTCATGCTCTGTGGCACCAAGATGAATAATCGCAGCCTTGATTAAACTAAATTAAACTCAGTATTCTGTTGTGCAACGCTTACTTATCATTATTCTCTCTGATCTTCAGTTCTTTCCATTAAAAAAAAAAGTCTATTTACTTCTTCCACAATTCTTGTCTAATTTGTTTCTCTCCACCACAGTAAATCAGGCAATTAGGATACTGAAGTAAAACACGGGATGGGCAATTGTACAAGGACTATTTAAAGTTTAAGTACTTGATAGTGCTCTTGGATGATGTCCCATTCCCTATGCTTTCAAATGAGCTGAATTTCATAAACCTGTATTAGAGACAGGTTGGAGTGCAATTTTGGTCATACCTCCCAGAGAAATCAGGGTACAGGCCCTTCTGTTCTAGGCCTTTCTGAATAGAAAAAGGTTTTACACCACTGCTCTTGGTCAATAGTCCCTCCTCCCTCTGTCTGATGAGCTGGTTGGCTGAGTTTTAGTGGAGTGATCTATTTGGTTGGCAAATATTACTGACTTATGTACACTTCAAGCAATCTCTACTAAGGAATTTCCTTGAGGCCCGGGATGTACCATTACCATTGGCTATCTTATTGTTAGTATGCTATTATCATCTAGTTTTCTAAAAGAGAAAAATATTTTTCTGTTACTTATATCTAGGGTGAAGGCTTTCCTTTTGACTTTTCCAGAGACAGCTCACTTTTGAAGGAATTTGCTTCCCCAGCCAATAAAAAAATTATAATTTGACACAGGGTGCATGACAGACCCTTCCTGGCCTTTGTGGTGTCAAGAAAGCAGTTTGTGTTCTTTGGAAGTCACCTCTAAAGTGCATACATTAAGCAGTCTCTAAATTCAGCTAAATTTCTCATCACACTGCTGGTGTTTAAGGAAGAGATTTATCTTCAATAATAATATAACTTGTGATAATATATTTGATTTTGACAGTCTGGCTTTTCTCTCACCTGCCCCCAACTCTTAGCATTTTCTTTGGATCTTTGAGACAGAAGGTTCTCCTTCAAGAAGAACCTGAAGGTTGGATGTGGATATTCTCCTACACTTATAATTCAAATGAAAGCCTGTTGAGATGGGAAATGAACACCCTTGAGCCCTTATTTTCTCTATAACCTTCTGTTCCAAAAGCAAGTCATTCCTCCTGCCTTTAACCTTTAGTTTGCTTCAGTGTTACTCTACCTGATGGCTGAAATACACTTCGACAGGTGCTGCTGAAGGGAAAATAGTAGTGTTGAGCTAAATTGCTGAAAGGCTGGGATGGAAAACTATCGCTAGCTCAAATCTTGATCCTTGATAAATAGTATTGCTCTCAAGTATAGTTTTTTAAAGTTTTGAGGCTACCTTAACCTTTTGAATGTCAGAGTTAGGTTTATAATATTAGTAGGTTATGCAGCTAATTTCCAAGCTAAGGTCATTCTTTTGTTTCCTACAAAACCTCACAGAAGTCCAAGGGGAGAATAAAAATCCTTTTTTTCCCCTAAATATAAATTTTGAAAATTAAAACCATTAAACTGTACCTTTATTAATGTATGGTTATCATAATAGATGAAAATAGATTCACCTTATTTGCATCACACCCTCAGGGGAGCAGCAGGATATCTAGGACAGAGTGACCATCATACTTGGTAAATGAAAAGAGGATACCCAGTTAAATTTGAATTTCAGATAAATAATTTGTAGTATCGGTATGTCCCAAATATTGCATGGGGCATTTTTATACTAAACATTTTTGGTGTTTATTGAAATACAAATTAAACTGGGTGTCTTATATTTTAGTCTGGCAACTCTAATCCAGGGCAAGTTCACCATGGCGCCTATATACAGCCCCCTATAATTCTCCTCTTTCCCCCTTTTATTGCTTCCCTTCCCCTCAACCTATGCCTGTCATTCTCCTTGCCTCCTCTTTCTCTTCCCCCACCCTACTTTTATCTTTTGTTCATTCTCTACTATTCACAGTTGGCCATTTTTGTGGAATCTCTGCCTGGGTTATCCAAGTACATGTACATGTGTAAATGTTTTATCTTTCCACTTCATGTAAATATTGTATTAGAGTACATTTTGCAGATTTACAAAGATGCTTAACTTGCAAGTCATTCTCAAATGATCCCTCTGTCTGTTGCTGCCCACTGTGGGCAGAAAACAAGAGGTCCACTGCTCCAAAGTTAAAATATTGTTTGGTGAAATTATTTTATGAAATAATAATTATAAAATTCATAACAATACTAATATCTATTAGTCCTATAGTAATAAAATTATATGATATTGTGATGAATGTTAATAGCCTTACAACTCAAAATCTAGGTTCTAAGGGCACTACAACTATGGGAAGAGCAACTACTGGCAGAAATGAACTCAATGTGGTGAGAATTATTTTCTTTTTAAAATTCCCTATTTAAGACATTGGAGTGATAGAAGGGGTAAATATTTGTAATGCATTTGTTTATTTGTTTGTTGGTTTATTTTTGTAGTGTTGGGAACTGAACCCAGGACCTCATGCATGCTAGACAAGTGCTCTCTACTACTGAGCAACATTCCCAGCCTTTTTAATGCATTTGTTAGCATACATTCTAATTTATTATTTTTTTAAGGAGATTCACAAAATGAGTACCAGGGTCCTCAATATTTTAGCTGTCTTTCTCTCTCTCTTTTTTTCCTCCTATTTTAGAGAATTCTGGGATCAAAGACCTACAATGCACAACAAGGAGCCAAAGGAAATCAGTCTGATGATGCAGGAGGGAGGCTCTTATTTCTGAGGTCACTGCCAAAGGAAGCTCTGAAGGATTAAAAGGCTTTCACTCCATTTGCTTTGGACAGATTTAAAGACTAGGCACAACCATTTGTGTTAATTAAAATCTCTCAAACCTTTGTTTTACTGCTGTTTTCCCTTTCTCCTCCCACCAATCTAGGTAGAATTGTTAGATGCTTAGTTTAAGCATGTCAGGAATTCAGTCATTTAGGGATTGTAAACAGTCTCTGATTATTTTCATCATTCTTGGATTTGAAATTTCTAGGTTTAAACCACATTGTATGTAGTTCAAATTCATAAAAAGGAGTTGTCTATTTCTGAGGTATTTACTTCTGGGTAGATCCACTAATGGCAAGTGAGTAATAGGTACAAAATAAAGAAACTTACATTCCTCAGACTGATTTTACTCTTTCACCAACCACATCCAGTTGCCTTGTTGATTCTGCCTGCTTGCTATGTGCCAAATATCTTCCACCTTCCAAGTACCATTGTTTCAGTTCAGGCCCTCTTTCCTTCCTGGATTACCATATCCTCTTAATTGGTTTCCCTGCTTCCTATTCCTCTAGTCCATCTCTCACAGTACCTTTGAAGCTATCTTTTCTGACTAAAAGAAAAATGAGATCATGTTAACTTCCTTATTGGGTTTTTGTGGATTCCTTCACAGACCATAAATGCTCTGTCTCCTGCCTACCTCTCCAGACTTATCATTCACTTCCTTCATACATCCTATATTGAGCTCTACAGAACTATTCGTTTCTTTGATATACCACAAGTTTTATTATCTTCATGCACAAAGCTTAAAGATTCTTCTCTTCTTGTTTTATTGATCATTGCCTATTTTTCTTAAGGGCTGAGTTTAGTGCCCTTCTATCCTGGTCATTCTCAATCCTAGCTGTGGATTATCATTCCCTTGAGAGCTCTGAAAAAGAGCATTTCACTGGGTATACCTCCCCAGGTCATTTAAATCATTACAAAAACATCTGTCTTTTAGAAAATCTTCCCAGGAAATTCTAGGGTGAGCCATATTTGAGAATCATTGCTCCAAGCTTTCATATTTCTATTATAGCACTTACTTGCAATTATTAATTTACTACATTGCAATTATTGATTTACCCAGATATCTCTCTCACCAAATGGTGGGCTCTTTGAGGCACAGGATTATGTCTTGTTCATCTTTTCCTTTTAATCAACCAATACAGTGCCTGGGATTTAACAGGAGCTCAGTAAATGATATTGTATAAAAATATAGAAAGTTAATTGCCATGTCCCTATTATTGTATCTTTTGTTTGTTTTTGGCACTTGGGATTGAACCAGGGGCACTCTATCACTAAGCTACATTCCTAGTTCTTTTAATTTTGAGAAAGGGTCTTTCTAAGTTGCCAAGGCTGACCTCAAACTTGCCATCCTCCTGTTTTAGCATCCTAAATTGCTGAGATTATAGGCATGGGCCACTGTGCCCTGCTTGATGCCCTGTCCTGTGTAAAATGCCTAAGTTACATTATAGCTCCTAAGATCTTCAGCTCTTAAAGTTGTCATTAATTTCCTATCTCATTTCAATATGGAAAAGTTAATTTGTCAAAAAATGCTTCATAATAAGAGATTCATCAGAATCTCTTATACTTTTCTGGTAACAAGTAAAGGCAATTAACCAATGCAAAATCTTTTTTCTACCAACATCAATTTAAATCCTTATTAAATGTGTACTTTGAAGGTAAATTCTAAAGGTAAGTGTACTTAACGAGTGGAAAACATTTCTATCACAGAATTTTTGGCATTAGAAGGAATTTTACGTAAGCAACTTCCTTCACTTTACAAAAGAAGAAACTTGAGTTCATATACATTGAAAGGGTGTCCAAAGCCTCATAGTTATTTGAGCCAGAATAAGTCACCACAGCCAGTTCATATTTCAGTCTAACACATTATCATCCCATTCCTAACTACAAAAATAAGTCTCTAAAGCCATGACATGATTAGTTTTATATTTTGCTAGCCCAGTTAGCTGAATATGTAATCCCCATTCTGTTTCAAGAAAGCTACCTCTGCATATTTAGTTCCTGAGAGACTTGGAAGTCCTGAGATTTTCCAAATCAATTGAATTAGGCAGAGCAAGGAGGACAAAAGACAGGAACATAAAATCTGACTGTACTACTGACTACCTTGACATAATTGTTTAACCTAAGGGTCTTAGATTCTTAATTTTAAGATTGGATTAAAGAGCACCATTTGAATGTTTTTTAAAATGTTAATTTTTACTACTACAAAGGGTTTAGATTACTGTATAATATCTGCCCCCAACTTTTTTGGTTGTTAACTAAGCTAGTTTACTTGCTGTTAGAGGCTTATAATTTCTTTAAAAATGAATCCTGTTATTCTCAAAGTATTTCAATTGTAAATTCATCATCACTCAGGCTTACCATCTTTCCTTCAAATGTTCCAAACCTTTCAATTTCTTCAAACATGAAACTGAAATATTGTAGCCTTTTATCATTTTTTTGAACTTTGAGAAAATAGTTCTTATTTATTTTTGTTTTTTATTTATATATGAGAGCGGAATGCATTACAATTCTTATTACACATATAGAGCACAATTTTTCGTATCTCTTATGAATAAACTCAATCATTTGTTTTTAAGATTCCAAATTGAATTCAGATTTTTGCCTATCATGATGCAAAGTTATCAGATTGGCTTTCTAGTCATTGGCTGACTAGTCAACAAGTTTATTGAGTCATGGATATGGATCTCAGCTTTACAGATACAAATTTATTGAGTACACTTGTCCAAAAGTCAGAGACTCATTCGAGCTACTCAGACTAAGAGATAAACCAAATATTAACTTAAATTACAGAGAGGACTTTAATTCCAACTTGATTAAAATATGTCTATATTATATTCTCATCTCTAAATCAACTAAGATGTACTGAGTTAGTAAGCAGAAATACTTGGGGTTGAGACATCATTATTACAGTTTATTTACACTCATTACATTTCTCTCAGGATAAAACCATTAATTATTATACCTGGGAGATACTTTTTAATTTCCCATCCAGTTGAGGAAAAACCCTGTCCTATTGGCAATATATTTATAAACCATTACTTTGGGTGATACTATTTTTGTGGTATATTTATATTATCTTGACTTTTTACCTATTCAGAGGTTTTTTGGCTACTTGCTAACATTTTACCTACAAATGCTGCCTTTTTGCAATGGTAAAGGGATTTTGTCACACTTTTTGAAATAAGTTCAACAACAGCTTGATATTTTCATCTTTCATCTGGAATTGCAATCATCAAAGAGGGAAAGTGACAGTGTACAACATTTTGGCCTTAAACTTGTAGATCCAGACATAAAATTCAGTTTTAGTTGTATGACTATGGCTATCACAGTGTCTCATTTTATAGGTAGAGACTTCTGCAATCTGTTGCTTGTTCAGATAAATTTCTAACAGCCTGCCTGGTACTTTGGAAGGAGTCTGAGTTGCTTCCAGTTCAAAGTCCCCATTGCTTCATATTTTGCATTTAGTCACCAAACATTAGGAAATGGGAAGAGAACAAAGTTCCATGTTAGAAAGGGAGATTGAGACCAATCAGTCCTATAGCAGGAGATATTCAGGCAGACAAATATAATTATTAATTGGTAAAAATGATAATTTTCATGAAAATTAAAAATCCATTTTCTCTGCTGCTTTCACAAATTCACTTATGCTGCCTAACATTCAAAACTTTTATATAAGGCTCATTTAAAGCAAAAAACACAACATAAACATTCTTATACACCATTTTCTAAGTATTAGTTGATCTGGTAGAAAATAAGATTGTTTAGTTTAACAAAATTATTTTCTTTCTGTAAATTTATTTTACAGAAAAAAATACTTTTCTGGGAAGTTGGATTTTAAGTTTTGGTCACACTGAAACCAATTAATAATTTAAGCATGAATGTTCTGATTTTTAAAAAGGTTCCCTTAAATTCAACCCATGTTCGTTTTTATAATTGGGACTGTGTCTTCTTGACTTATATATACTGAATCCTAAAATTTGAATGTAGACAGAGAGCCCTTTTACGAAATCAAATACCAATACCAATTGAATATCAGCAAAATGGCTGATTAGAGGTTCCTAATACCTGTAATCTCCAATATATACATATATATTTTAAAGACCAAAACACTGAATCAACACTTGGCTGGTGTATCTCAGGGAGAGCACTGGAGTACAGCAGGAAAATAGTAGAGACCTAGTAGAGAGGCTAAAGATTACCTCACAGAAAATAGAACAAAACACCCTGTCTTTGCCATACTGTATTCTCAGTTAGGGTTAGGATAAAGAACATACTCCCCCTCAAGTGATACTAAGGTAAGAAGGAAGTCCATAGCAGCCCCCATTAACATCATGGACACCTATAGACTTTGCTGCTAGAAAATCTTGCCCCCACCATCCTCATTCCCTGAGCCCAGTTTAGAGAGAAGCTCACATATTCATATTATCCTAGAGAAAGAGCTCACATTGCGCAAGCCCCCAAATTCCCAACCCAAGCTGTAGCCATACAGTACCATCTTAACACTGAATCACTGATACCATCTTCACACTGAATCACTGAATCTACAAGTAGAGAATGTCCTACTCTAGGTACCAGTAGCCACTGGCTACTCTTCCATTACACTGTGCTTACACATGATAATGCTGAACTAATGTAGGTACTTATGTTCTGGAACCAAACTGCCTAATATACATTCCACTTTCCACATTCCAGTGACTACAGTGATCCAGAGTGACTCAGTCCTGGAGTTAATCCACAAAGTACCTTGTCCCCAAGGAACAGGCAGTTCTGCCCAGCACAGGAGGTGAGACCAGATTGGTCATACACAAAGTGGGCAGATCTACCAGCTAAATGTGTTATTCCAGGGGAGCCCCACCCAAAACTGGCAGATCAGTCTCATAAACTCCTGTGGTTTAGGCCAACAACACATTTGCAAGCATAGCTGCTTTTGACTGAAACCTGTTGGGGTCTGATCTCCTGAAGTCATGGAGAGTGTACCATGA